CTCTGAGGAGCATAATATACAGACCCAACCAAAGGGTAAAAACCAAAACAGTCAACACCTCGAGGCGGAAGGTGTCACACACAACGGCACCAGCCAGTCCTTCCCATCTCACGCCAAACATCACTCTATACATTAACCTCCATACAGCTAAGAGGGCCGGGGCGCTCTGAGGGCACAGGCCCAGGCTCTATCCTGCACCCCAGAAAAGGATGCTGAGAAGTAGGGACTTCATTTTGTCTTCTTGGTTGTGTATCCTTTTAGTTGTTAGTATCTAATGGCTGAACCATCTCTGCAGCCCCCGATTTCCATTTTACAAAAAACACAGGCATACATTTGCCCTCAGTCCCACCACTGTCCAGTTAAAGAGGCAAGCTTCCAATTCCTGTCTATCAACTCCAGAGCCTCTTTGTCTTCATACAACCAATTTGAACTCAGTAACTTTCACATGACCCATTTCATAGTAGGGAAACTGAGGCATAGAAGGACAAGTCACAGGCTGAATTCATTATAGTAGAAATAGGAGCTCCCAGTCAGGAGATGTAGCATAGCCCTATAATCCAGGCACTGAAGCAAGAGGACTGGGTTCCAGGCCAGCCTTTGAGCCACAGTAAGCCGCTATCTCAAAAGACCAATGGCTGGTATTGTGGTTCAAGGGCAATGCACTGGCCTAGCACGCACAAGGCCCCAGACTTAATCTCCAACACTTCTTGGGGGGAAAAAATAAAAAAATAAGACGTAGATCTGGGATTCAAGTTCAAGGAGCTTCACTCTAGAGTCCCGCTCCCCATTCCTACTGAACTGGGTATCCTTGGGCGTTCAGACGACGGAAGGATCAGTTTCTTCACCTAACCATGGGTGCCACTCTGTATGAACTTAGCCTGCCGCTGTATGTTAACCGCACAGAGCCGCACAGGGCATTACCTGCCTTTGAACCTAAGCTGAGCGTGGGGCTCCTGCAGAGGGTCTGCTGTCAGCTGCCACTCCACCCGACCACCGCGGTCCCCGCTGAAACCTACCTCCAGAGGGGTGAAGTCATGGTTGACCAGGAATGCCAGAATGGCTGTGGGAACAACGAGGAACTCCACGCGGAAAGTATCGTGGTTCCCGTCGTAAGTAGCTTTAAACTTGCTGTAGATCATCCACACCGTGGTAAAGGAACAAGCTATGTAGACCACCTGATGAGAGAGGGTGACAGGGCAGCTCACTACAGTGGGGCCTCCATCCAGTTCCCAGCCTACCTCCCTCAAACCAGAGGTCCAGACCCCACCCAGCTCCTTTCCTTCATGACCAAATGTCCAGACATCAGTCTTCCATGCTTAGACCCAAGAGTAGATAGATAATGAGTCCCTCCTCCCTCAGACCCAGATGTCCAGACCCCAGCTCTCCTGCCTCAGACCAGAGCTCCAGGCCCAAGCCTCTTTGCTGCTTCCTCTCTGACCCCTGGCCTGGAACCCTGCCACAGGGGGCGCTGACTGCAGGTCTACCTTCATGCAGGTGTTGTAGAGTGAAATGTAGTTGGTGAACAGGTCCAGGTATCGGGCAGTAAACACCACAGCAAACAGGACCTGGCTCTTCCCTGAAATGCCTGGTTGAGACAGAGAACAAGGGGAGGGTACGGGGAGCTGAGGTGGGCTACTTGGACAATAAACTGAAGTGCAAGGCCTGGGCCGACCGCCCGGAGCTGTCCCTCCCCAAAGGCCTTGAAGCCTGAGCACGGCCCTTTCCCACCATCCACAGCCAGGGGGCAGCCGGCCCCAATAATACTACAGACCGAGGCTCCGTCCCAGGCTAGGCCTCGCTGGAACCCTTGTCTCCTTCAGGGTCCCCTGATAGTCTGGACCGACGTTGGGACCTAGGGAAAGCCCTGCCTGACTTCAACCTCTCAGCCAGTCACCTTCCTCCCGCTCCCTTCCTGGCCTTTACAGTCCACGTCACCAACTCCCAGCCACCTCCCCGCCTGCCATGATTCCTGGTTCCCGGCCCCGGAACACCCATAGCTGTCCCAAAGGGTGCTGCAGAAGGTTGAGCTGAGCACCCGAAACCACCCCCACCAAACTCTGTGCACCCCTTAGTCTAGGGAAAGAAGCTGACCCCCTAGTGACCCTAGATCTAGAAGGATACCCAGCAGGCAGTCCGGGAGGACTCTGTCCTGCCGAGCTTCTGCCTTCCCGGTGCCCCGGGGCGGCCCGCTCCCGCCCCCTCTCCGCGGGGCGGGGGCTCTCACCCGCACACGATCGGGACTTCCAGATTTTGAGCAGTAACAAGATGATGGCTAGGAGGTGGGAGAGGTCTCCCAGGAATCGGAAGAGGTTCATGACTGGGGAGCTCGGGCAGGACTGAGCTGGGGGAAGGTTGGCCAACCGGGCTGCCCCGGAGCTGCGGTGCTGCTGGGCTGAGGGCGGGAGAGGAGCCCTTCGGTAGCTCAGCTCCGGGGAGGGGGCTCTGGGAGGTGAGCCGAGGCCGGAGCTGGTGGCAGAGCTGGCAGGGAGAAAAGGGAGGAGGGCCAAGGGTGGAAAGGGAGGAGTCTGGGCTGGAGCTCCACCCCGAGGGCGGGTTGGCTCTCTGGCACCCCCTGTCGCACGCCGCCTGCCTTGCAGAGTCGTGCCGAATAAACTGTCCTCTGCCTTCTACTAATCTAGAATCCCACACTCCCCGCTCTTAGCAGTTCTGAACGCTAAAGATCCTGGAGCTAGGCCGGGCGTTGGTGGCGCACGCCTTTAATCCCAGCACTCGGGAGGCAGAGGCAGGCGGATCTCTGTGAGTTCGAGACCAGCCTGGTCTACAGAGCTAGTTCCAGGACAGGCTCCAAAGCCACAGAGAAACCCTGTCTCGAAAAACCAAAAAAAAAAAAAAAGATCCTGGAGCTGCCAAGGGTGATGGTGCAACCCGAAATCTTAGCACTGGGAAGATGAAGCAGAGCGATCCACAGTTACAGGCCCAGGGCTCCATAATGACAATTCATTCCCCCACAAATTATTAATACTAATACTACTAATAGTAATGACAACAACAATCCTGGAGATTAAGAGGGTAGATTTCTGGCTTTCTTGGTGTTCTCTAGGTCCAATTCAGTGAGAAGACAGGCCCCCTGCCACACCCAGCCTACTGCCTCTACAATCCCTTTCTTGGCAATCCCTGTATTACTCAACATTCTAACCTACAGCCACAATCCCGTTCTCCTTCAAGACTCAAACGTCAGGGCCTGGCTCGTTCAGAAGCAGTCCGCATCACCCATGTCCTCCCAGATATTAGGACACAAGAAGCAGGAAGTCTGATAAGATAGTTACAGGCCTTGGTCCCAGCGTCCACACCCCTCTCCCCCCACCCCCAGCATCCATCCTCAGGGGTCCAGGAGTGCTGAAGCACACTCCTTCCAGTATAACAGAACCTAAGGACTGCCCTCCCAGAGGCAAGATGGAAGCTCAAAGGTAGGGCTATGAGGAGGGCTGTGTCTGTGGCAGAGCAGGACTGAGCTCTCATGGCTGTGAGAGACCATCTGGTCCCTCAGTGAAGGACTTGCTCAGAATCTGGACCCTAGCGCGAGGGAGAAGGGCGAGGGCCTGGATCTGCCATCTAAGGAAGGAAGGCTGGTATCTAGAATCCTAGTTCTGAAAGAAAGGGCCAGGCATTGGACCCCCCAAGTTTGGTAGAGGAGAGCCAAGGGTTGAAATTCTGGGAGGGTCTGGACCCCTGGGTCCGAGGGAGGATGGCTAGGATTTAAATGCCTGGGTCACAGGAAAGAGTGCTGGGGTCGGAGAGAGGAAGGAACCGGGAACCCAGCGACATAGGAAGAGGGCTGTAGGCTGAGGTGGGAGGACTAGGATCCGACCCCAGTTCGGGGGGGGGGGGGGCAGGGAGACTAGGCTCCGGTCTGCTGGGTCTAAGGGAGGTGAGCTAGCATTTGGACATCTGATTCCAAGGGATAAGAGACTTGGGAGTCTAGACTACTGGCTCCATGACAGACATCCAGCTTGCTTGCATCTTCCCTCTGGGGCCATAGAACTCACGGGATGAGTCTTAGCATGGCGGATGTTGAAGTCCAGAAGAGGGAAGGGGCAATTTCAGGAACCCCCAGCTCTCTGTCTAGGTCCCAAACTGTCTGTTCCAGGCAATGTCCTTGTCCACCCACCTCTGCATCCTCCCATTTCAACACAGCCCCTCAGTCCCACGTCCCATGAGGAAAACAGAGGCTTTGAAATAGGGTAAGGAGTGGCCCCCTCCCTCAGTCCTAACAGGAGGAGGGGTCCCTAGGGAAGCCAAGAGGGGGGGCTGTGGGTCTCCTGGCAGGGAGGAACGGAGACTGAATGTTAATCGCATCCTGAGTGAGTGTGCGAGAACACAGCGAGTGTGTGATTCCCTCACGCTCTGGCTCCTGCAAGCCTTGGCCGCTGCCTCTGCCGCTACCACCTTCTGCCAGCGCCCGCAGCCTCCTCGGCCACCAGCGCCCTGTTGAGGGGTGTCAGCCTGGGTGGGTCCGCCTGGCCCCCAGGGGTCTCTCGTGCTACAGCCATCTGCTAGGTGAGGATGTGTGTCTTGGTGTCAGGCTGGCTGGTGGGGGGGGTGTGTCTGTAAGGGCTGCGGCGGCCGGTAGCTGAGGGAGGAGGGGTCTGTCTGTCTGGACCGACCCTGAGCCTCCTGTCTGCACCTCATGACCCCCCAATCTGTTCCCTGAGCCCCCAAACCTGGATGGATGGTGTGCACCTGGGTTCTGTGCCTTCTGCCTGCATCCAGCCGAGTGTCTGTGTGTCCCTGGATGCCTGTGTCCTCCTGTCTGTCCAAACAGCCAGAGAGCAGTGACAACGCGCCTCTGTTGGGGCCCTGCGCAAGCGTGAGTGTGTGTGTGTGTGTGTGTGTGTGTGTGTCTCCCTCATCAAGCTCCGGGGGTGTTGAGGGGGAATCCCAGGGAAGTGAGATTGTGTGTGTGTGTGTGTGTGTGTGTGTATGCATGTGTGTTTCTGCCTGTGCTTGAGAGTGGGGGCACGTGGGGGGGGTGTCTAGAGGTGGCCAAGCAAGGAACGGGCAAGCAGTTCCTCTGATAGGCAGCCTCACGCTCCTTATACAAACATACACGAGCCACTGGCTTCAGAGGTGACCCAGACAGACAGACAGAGACAAGAGAGCCGGTGCTGAGAGCACAAAGGGGATGCTAATAAGCTAGGGAGAGGTGATGGGACATGCCAGCCAGAGGAGGAGCCCGGACTAAAGCCGGCAGAGGGGGGCACCCCAGGTGGGCGGAAGGGGATCCCCATGGGGTCAGGCCGCAAGAGGACACCCCGACAGCCTCTGCAATGTCCGGGGCCCAACTTCCAGCGCAACATGTGTAGCCTCATCCTTGCCTAGTCTGGTGGCCGCAACCTTGGGGGACAGGGCAGGGCAGGATCAAGAAGAGGAGGGACAGAGCCGGGACAGGCAAAAGGTCCCCGCCACTGCCTGCGCTGCTGCTGCTGCTGCTGCTGTTGCTGCTGCTGCTGCTACCTCGCTGCCGCCCTCGGCCTGGCCCCCAACCAGTTCCCCAACACTCCACGGAATCTTTGGGTCTCTGGATACCGGTTCCGGTCCTGGCCCCCCAGCAACTCCCCCCACAGAACAGGGTCATGAAAAGGTAAGGCTGGGCAGGGGAAGAAGGGGTGGGGGTGGGGATATGGCCCCCTCCAATCTAGGGCAGGGAAAGTTGGCTGGGGACCTCAAGGAGGGAAGGGGTTTGAATGTGAGAAAACCAAACGTCTCTGCCCCCTTATCCCTCAGGGACTATCTTCCATCTGCTCGCGCGCGCACTCTCTCTGCCCCTTTCCTAGGTTTCTACACCTCAAAACCACCCCAGGCCTCTATTCCCCTGCACTTCACCCTGTCCCCGGCAGTGCAGAACTGAATCCCACCTCTGTCAATCTCTACACCCCTTCCCTGCATCAGTCTCCCCAGAGCTAGCTATCCCTCTCTCCTTTCGCTCTCCCCTCCCACCTCAGAGCTATGAGTCTGCTATTAATACCCCCGCCAAGGACCTTGAGGGCGTCCAGTGCCCGGCACCCAGCCCCAAGCAGCCACCCCTTCCTCAAGGTTCTGGAATGCTCTTCCAGGACTGGGGTGGGAGACATTGGTTTGTGTGTGCATGAGGTGGGGGACAGGAAATCTCTCTGCAGCACAAGGAGGGGAAGCTGCTGACCACAGCCTCCTCCATTCCCATAATGGTTTAGGGGGGCAATGGAGGCAGAGACCTCCTTCCTCCTTACGCTCTGGACAAGATATGAAAGGAACAACTGGGGAGGCCAGACCTAGTGGGCAGCAAGGATGTTGGGACTGATGGGGTCTGAGCAAAAAAGGGGGGCTCCTTAAAGGAGAACAAGACAGAAACCAAGATTTCCAGTTGTTGGGGCGGGAGGCGGCCAGGATGTCCGGGTCCTGAGGAAGAAATGAGTGGACCACTGTGCTGGGTGCGGAGGGGATGCCTGCCAGGCCAAGTCTTCAGTCGGGAATTTAGGGAGGGCACCATGAGAGAAAGGAGGGCCAGGACTCCTGACAGAGCAGGCTGGGGAAACGCTGCTTAGGCCACTGTGGGGACCAAAGAGATGGCTAAACTCATGAGGTGGAGGGCGAGATGGACTTTGCCAACCCTGTTCTGAGCTCTGGGGACTGATACTGGGGTGAGATGGCTGGGAAGAAAGGTTGCCCTCAGGAATCCTCCCTTTATGGGAGACAATGCCTCCTGATGGGGTGGGGTTGAGACTACCCTCCTAGGCCTCACAGTGACAAGAACCTCAGACCCCAAAACTGCAGAGGCCAGGGTCTGAGAAGCGAAGGAGGGGGCTGATGGCTGAGCAGCTACCAGGAAGGGAGAGGAGAGCCAGTATTAACCCCGCAGGGGCCAGGCCACAGCTGTGCGTTATTTTGGGGAGAAAGGGGGGGCTATTCTGAGCACGGATTGAGCCAGCTGCTAAGGGAAGGAAAGGCAATGGAGAGGAGGGATAGGAGGAGGCATGGCCTGCAGGAGGGGGCACCCCCTTCCCTTGGGAGACAGAGGCTCAGGCCCTCCAGAAAGGTGGGATGGCAATTTAGAGGATGAGGTTTCCAGGCAGGGTAGGGGGTGTGGGCCTCTGCCCCAACCCTTGCTGTCTAGAATGGACAAGCCTGTGCTACCATGGCAACAAGATAGGAAACTGACAGCCAAGAGAGAGCCCTTCTGTATCTGGACCCTGACCCATTCAGAAAACCCCCAGTGCAGGCCCTTAGTGCTTTCTGGGAGCAGAGATCAGGCCCCCATGGCCGCCTCCATAGATCTAGTACCCAGGAGCCTGGGATCCTAGCCCACCCACCCCAGGCAACTAGTATTCAACAGGGGGCACTGGAGGCAACACTTCCTTTAATTTACTAAATTGCTCTGGGCTGGAAGCCAGGGAGCCCCCCCCCCACCCAGCAGTGCTCCACAGCTGTGCCCCCAACCCCAAGACTGGTTTGTCACTCAGTTTCATCAAGAATGAAAATGAGGGGGCAGGGACAGGAGGAGGGGGCTAAGAATGGCTTGGGGTGGTGGGTATTTCCTCTCCTTGGATACCCCACTAATTTCTCCCCCCTTTCTCTCCCTGCACACCTGACCCCCTTTTCCTCTCTCATTTCCCCCTTTACTCTCTTCCCTTTATTCTCTTTCCCTCTGCCACCTGGCACTGCCTTGCTTTCATGTCTGTGCTGGGCATCTCCCGGGTGGGGGTCTGGGTCTCTGCCTTGCCTCGCTATTTCTGTCTTCTCTGTATTTCATTTGCTCTGCCTGCCTTCCTCCATCTCCGTTCCTTCTTCCTGAGGTTGGTGTTTGCCTGACTCTGGGTGGCTGTGGGTTCCTGCCTTCTATACCCCCAACTTTCTCATCTATCTCTCCGTCTCTCCTTGCCTGGCTACCATCCTCTCGCTGGGTCCTTCTCTTGGGTCTTTGTCCATTTGAGCCTCTCCTTCCATTCCTCCCTGGCCATATCTAACTGTCCCCTCTCCTTCCATTTCTCCCTGACCATATCTAACTGTCCCCTCTCCTTTGCCCTCACTCTGGTTCTGCTGGTGGTTTTTGTCCCGTCTCTGGGTCTCTTTCCCATCTGTATGATCACTGTCCATCCCATCCCTGCCTTCTCCCCTCTTCTTACCTCTGCATCTTCCCTGACCCCATTACTCACCCCCTCCCGCCTTTGTGTCTCCTGGTTCCCACACTCCATTCCTTCATCTCACCCCCCACCCCTCCCTCTGCTTGGATTCCATCTTTCTCTTCCACTCCCTCCATTGCCTTTCCCGCTGTCTCTTCTTGTCTCTGGACTGTGTCTATCTCTCTTCTGCCTCTTTCTCTCTCTCTTCATCTGTTTCTCTCTATGCTTCTGCCTCTCCGTCCCTCACCTAACTTTCTCCTCTCACCCTGACTCTGCGTCTTCCCTCACTATCTGGGTCCCACTGCCACCTTCCCCATCTCCGTTTCTCTATCTCTGTCTCCTCCCTCCGTCTCGGTCTCCCCTTATCTCTGTCCCTCATCCCTGTTTTTCTCCGTGTCTGCCCCTCCCTCTTCTCCATCACCCACCCTTCCCCTCTCGCCCCGTCTCTCCTGTGCCTCCCCTCGGGCTCTGCCCTCGCCTCCCGTCCGCGCAGAGGCCGCCCGGCGGGGCCCGCAGGCGATGCGCGGCGCCGGTGGCCCCCGCGGCCCTCGGGGCCCCGCTAAGATGCTGCTGCTGCTGGCGCTGGCGTGCGCCAGCCCGTTCCCGGAGGAGGCGCCGGGGCCGGGCGCGGCCGGCGGGGGCACGGGCGGGGCGCGGCCGCTCAACGTGGCGCTGGTCTTCTCCGGCCCCGCGTACGCGGCCGAGGCGGCGCGCCTGGGCCCGGCCGTGGCGGCGGCAGTTCGCAGCCCGGGCCTGGACGTGCGGCCAGTGGCGCTGGTGCTCAACGGCTCGGACCCTCGCAGCCTTGTGCTGCAGCTCTGCGACCTGCTGTCGGGGCTGCGCGTGCACGGCGTGGTGTTCGAGGACGACTCGCGCGCGCCCGCCGTCGCGCCCATTCTCGACTTCCTGTCGGCGCAGACTTCGCTGCCCATCGTGGCCGTGCACGGCGGCGCCGCGCTCGTGCTCACGCCCAAGGTGCGCGAGACCGCGGGGGCGGGGCGGGGCCTTGCGGCTGGGGGCGGGGCCTGGCATAGTCTCGATTGAGTTGGGGTGGGGACGTTCGTCGAGTCGCAGTGCCTAGGGGAAGCTGAAGGGCAAGACTGTGAGAGGCAGGCTTTGAAAGGCGGGACCTATGATAGCTTGAGAGCCGATTTCATCCAGGTTTGGGGGGCTTATAAGGTCGGGGACAGCCACTGGGGGCGGGGTCGTCCTTTGGTCAGTTTCCACGTTGGTGGTAAGAGTCAAGTCTAGGCAATCTAACTTGGAGGGGGTGTGTTTTATAGTGTTCACGGCACCTTCCAGAGATCACTTACAAGGGTCAGATAAACAGGGAGGAGGTGGGTTACAAGTGAAAACTGGGAAAGAACCAATGGTAGAAGTATAGATAGATTTTAGTAAGGGGCGACAGGGGCAGAGACTGTTATGGGCCTTGGACCAATAAGAGAAAGAGTCGGTTGGAAAGGAATGAGGTTCAGAAAGAGGTAGAGTCTGGTGTGGAAGTAGTGTCCAGGAAGGCAGGGACCGGGACCATAGGGAAAGAGAATCGGGTCCTGAAGAGAGCATGGCGGATGGCTCAGCCGAAGCGTGGCGCCTAGAAACGAGAGCAGAGCCATTCATTCTGAGAAGTGGGGTGATGAAGAGCAGACTAGCTCAAGGAAGGAGAGAGGGATCCAGTGGAGAGGGCTGAGGCTAGACCCCGTCCAAGCAGTGTAATGAAAGTTTGCCAAGAAAGGAAGTAGGCCTTTGGAGTGGGCTTTGAGAAGGAGCATGTCAAACTGTAAAAGTGTGGAAATGAGGATCCTGAACTGGACGCAGGAAGGAACGAGCCAGCCCAGGCAGTGGGAAGCCAGACACAGACACCTGAAGTGAAGTGGGGAGACGCCTGGGGACAGTGGGTTGTACTGGGCGTTTGGTACCAAAGAAGAGACTTGGACTAGCCTAGTTTGCAGACTGAGAAAGATGAAGCCAAAGAAGGGAGATACTGGAGGTGAGCAAGTGAAACAGAGAAGTGGGATTGGCTGGAGGACGGAGCCACCTGAGTGGGTGGGGCCTAAATGAGCCAGTTCCCTGCTAGAAAGAAAGGCCAGTGGCAGGTACCCGGTCACTCTGGCATCCCAGGACTCAAAGGTCTGTCCAAAACATTGTGGGAAAAGCCTCTGTCCAACATCCTTGTTCTTGGCTTGATTTGTAGGCCTGGCTGCTGCCTCCATGGAACACTGACACACATGGTCCCTTGTGCCTCCGTTGCTGAGTGTGACCCACTGAACACAGTTATCCACTCTTGTGTGCAGCCTGTCACCTTGAGGGGCACATAGAGTTCCCTCACTGTCCGTGGGTGGGAGAAGGTGTCACCCTCACTACTCAAGCTATGCTACAATGCATGCCAGCACCTAGGCCCTGCTGAGGGATGAGGGGCTCTGTGGGTCTCCACTGCACGCTGGGAAGCCCCCTCTTCTCAGGACAGCTTTCTTGTACCCAGCATCAAGCCAGTGGCATATGCCAAAGGAGAAATCTGATGGCTGTTTGCCCGCAATTGCAAGAAGGCTTGTGAGGCCTGAGGCCTGCTTAGGTTCAGGATTATAAAGCTGAGTTGAGGGAGGTTGGGCCATATGGAATTTGCGCTCTAATGAGGAAAACAAACGAAGCCACCAATAGTGAAATCTGCCCTGGGGTTAATGACTGAGGCTAAGGCTCCAATGGATGGTAATCAAGAGAGGCCTCCCGAGGAGGTGGTGTCTGTGCTGGCCCTGAAGAATGATGAGAGCTCGCTAGGCATGGAAGAACCAGGGAATGTGTCCCCAGGAGGGACAACTGCTAAGGACGAAGCTTGGAAGAAGCATTGTGTGTGTGAGAAAGACCTAGGCAGAGTGGCTGGAGCCAGCGAAGATCTGGGAAGGCAGAAGATGAGCTCAGACAGACCTTGTGCTTGGGCCACAGCGGGTACTTTATTTGGTTTTGATTCTAAAGTAGAATTCTTGGAAGGTTTTCAATTGAGAAGTGATGTGTTCCAATTAATATTCTGAAATGATCACTTTGGTTCTGCTTGGAGAACAAACTAGAAGACATGAGAATGGATGCAGCAGGGTGTCAGAGGGCTGCAGATGTCTGGGCAAGAGCACCGTGGTGCGGTGGTACCGAGGAGAGGAGGGGACAGAAGAGCGGGAGTTCAGAGTCGGCTCTGTTCTAGATGTGATGCTCTGTGAGATCCTAGAGGGAGGGAGAGGGGGTTCTGGGATTGGGGATGTTGTAAAGAGTCAAGACACCTGCTTTTGACAGGCAGGTTCCCGAGACACGTGTGGAAACCCTGGTTTGCAGAAGGTGACTAGAAAGTGGGATAGGTTTGTCTGGAGCTCACAGGAACGGCTGTGACCAAAGATGGGGTCCTGGGCACGCGGCTGAGCTCCCTGCAGCTAGGAAGCCGGACTGTGACTGCTCCATCCAGCAGCAGCTGCAGAGCCACAGGTGGCTGGCGAGCACTCGCATGGTGCAGCTGAGGAACTACAGTTGTTTTTTCAGTTTAATTTGAATAGCTACACGTTGTGAGTGGCTACAACACTGGATAGTGCTAGAGACAATATTTAAAGCCATGGTGTTAATGGCCTTGCTAGGGAGCGTGGACAGAAAAGGAAAGGAACACCAGAAAGACCCCTTACATTGTTTATGGTTCTGATTCAGGAACAGAGGCCAAAAAAGGAGACAGAAATGGGGGCCAAGAGGGCAGGAGGGAAATGAAAGGGTCAGTCTATTCCACTTGAAAGGAATAGACTTCAGCATCCTCATTGCATGATGGGAATTGTAGTTCTGCTCTTTGCAAATTGGGCTAGAGTGCCTCAGGGGATACTGGGAAGATGTGGGGTGAATTCATGGTAGTAATATCACATACTGCCACAGATAAACCCACAAACCTCAGCAGCTCACCCCAGTAGGTTGTTTTTCACTCATACAAACTCCAAATGGGGCATCCTGACTGGAGGTATCCATCCCTCCTGTGACTACGAGACCCTAGGCCTGCAGAGTTTTCCTCCGAGTCTCTACAGCTGCCCTCAGACAGGAGAGTAAGGTTCAGGGTGAGATTTTTTTAAGGTGGGTCTGGAAGAACTCAGTTATGTGGTTAAACTGATGAAGCCAGTGCTACAGAAGGAAAAGGAGCCAGGCCTGGTAAGCAGCCATGGCGGAAGCTGTGGTGCCACTGGCTCAGGCAACTGTGGTCTGCTCACTGGTCCTCCCTGTCCCCGCAGGAGAAGGGCTCCACCTTCCTGCAGCTCGGCTCCTCTACAGAGCAGCAGCTGCAGGTCATTTTTGAGGTGCTGGAGGAGTACGACTGGACATCCTTTGTGGCAGTGACCACGCGTGCCCCAGGCCATCGGGCCTTCTTGTCATACATCGAGGTGCTGACTGATGGCAGCATGGTGGGCTGGGAGCATCGAGGAGCGCTGACACTGGATCCCGGGGCTGGTGAAGCCGTCCTGGGCGCACAGCTCCGGAGTGTCAGCGCGCAGATCCGCCTGCTCTTCTGCGCCCGCGAGGAGGCAGAGCCTGTTTTCAGGGCAGCAGAAGAGGCTGGCCTCACTGGGCCTGGCTACGTCTGGTTCATGGTGGGACCTCAGCTGGCCGGAGGCGGGGGCTCCGGGCTCCCTGGGGAACCCCTTCTTCTGCCAGGAGGTGCCCCACTGCCTGCGGGGCTATTTGCAGTGCGCTCTGCTGGCTGGCGTGATGACTTGGCACGTCGAGTGGCTGCTGGTGTGGCGGTGGTGGCCAGAGGTGCCCAAGCCCTGCTGCGAGACTATGGCTTCCTGCCTGAACTGGGTCATGACTGCCGCGCCCAGAATCGCACCCACCGTGGGGAGAGTCTACACAGGTGATTGGGGATTGTTTGGAGCACCCAGTAATGAGTGGCCCGGATTGGAGTTCATCCCGGCTCTCACTTGCTTTTCTGCGGATACTTGAGTGATCTTTCTGGGGGTTAGCCGAGTGATTTGGGAAGCACCTGGTTTACAAAGGGTTTGTTTACATTATTTCATGATTTTAAGGCTGGGCATGGTGGTAAAAGACTGAAATCACAGGCACTTCAGGAGTGGAGGCAGGAGACGCAGTGGTTCTGCGTCATCCTTGTTTGCGCTTCAGCCTGGTCTGCATGAAACACTGTCTTGAAACAAAACTGTGATTTTAGTTCAGTGAGGCAGTACAGACTTGCCGTCCCAGCACTCTGAAGACGGGGGCAAGAAACAAGCCTAAAATATCTAAAACAGAAATATCCATTTTCTTTTTCTTTTATATTTTAATGTCTTTGTCAAAATGTGTCTTATAATAGACCAGTTATCATGTTTGAATTGGCACTGGGCTTGTTTGTTTCGTAAGTAAAAACAGTGACAACTGATAGCAACTTAAACTGGATAACCCCCTCACACACACACACACACACACACTATGAGCTGAGTCTCAGTGACAAAAAAACCCAATGGTCTAGTTACCTGTGCAAGGCAGACATTTTTCTCTGTCTTGTAACATCCGAGAGATGAGTGCCCGGCAGTCCTGTTGTCAGGAGACAGGCTCCATGTGGTAATTCTGTTTTTCTACTCTTTGCACAGTACAAGTTGGGTTGTAGGCATGGCAGAATGAGCCTAATCTAGAGAAGGAGGAAGGATATAGCAAAGAGCCAGCAACTTGGAGTGATGGAGAGGGCATAGGTCTCACATCTTATTTCCGAAAACACTGACATACTGATTGTTCAAGGCATAGCCATTCTACGTAAACATCCCTGCTGATCGACTAGACTCCCATTCTGATGGGCTGGTGCTGACAGTTAGATATTTTAATAGCACCCCTGCATGTGGCTGCAAAGTGCTGGATGTGTCCACCAATACTGTGGCCGTGGGTCCAGCTTACACCCTATGATGTTAGAAAAAAACTGGGTGCGACAGAAGGAAGACCATTAATCCGGAACCCAGTTGAGTCTGGGAGGAGGTGGTGGGTGCAGAAGAGGACCTAAGGGAGGAGAATGGCCAACTGGGTTGGGAATCAGGACCCCAGAACAAGAGGGTAAGAGAAGGATCCTGTGATCGTGAACACCGAGCGCCTGCTAGGAACCAGGGCTCATGCTGGGCCCTGGGAACACAGGGATGAATAAGACCACAGACTTCTTCAAAGACTGCAAGGCCTAAAGAGCTGACATACAGGGATGGGAATAATGGCCACACAGTGTGAGGCTGGCGGTAATGGAGACAGCAGCAGCCTTAGGGAACGTGGGGGAGGAATCCTGCCCAACCAGGACATTTTTGGTTGCAAAAAGCAGTCTCGTTTAAATTTCCCCAGGAGAAAGCGGGTTCATTGGAAAGATAAACATGCACCGAGCAGACTTCAGGAATTGAGGCCAAGTCCGGGCCAGCCTCTCTTTCATCTCCTGACTTTGTCTTTCTGATTCTGCGCGTGCGCGTGCACACACACACACACACACACACACACACACAGGCTTACCTTTCCCAGCCTCTGTTCAGATCTTAATCCATAGTTTCTCCTTCCTCATAACTTTAGAACCTACAGGGCTCGCTGTAGACCAGCGAGACACCCAAGAGAAAAGTGGTTAGTGACAATCAGTTTACAGGCCACGCAGCTGTGGGGAAAGCTACAGTGTCAGGGAGGTTTCCTGGAAGAAAGAATTCTAGACTGAGACCTAGGGATGAACGACCAGCCAAACACCCATCCACTGGGAAACCCCTACTGAGAGTCTATGTGATAAGCACCGCTTTGGCACAAAAGAACCAAAGTTGGGTGTGGTGGTTTAATCCTTTAATCCCAGCACTCAGCAGAGCCCTGAGCTCAAGACTGGCGTGGTCTCGGTAGTGAGGTCCAGGCCAGTCAAAGATATGGACATCTACATCTACATATGTATGAGCAGCATATAGAGAGATGGACAGACAGACAGACAGACAGACCCTGGCTCACAGAACTGCTGAAACAATCCCCTGCTTTCACAGAGCGACAGACTGAGGAGAGCGAGTGAGGGAAGGGCGCCAAGTAGAGAACAGGCAAGGAGAGAGCTGCCCTCAGGTGGCAGCCTCTGAGATGAGATAAAAGGTCTAGGGGGTTAGAACATATCAGGCAGGTAAAGCTTCGAGGTTAAACTGATAGGATGGAGGAGGAGCTGGAGAGATAGCTTAGCAGTTAAGAGAACTTGCTGCTCTTGCAGAGGTCCCAGGTTGGGTTCCCAGCACCGATATTGGGTAGCTCTCTCTCTCTCTCTCTCTCTCTCTCTCTCTCTCTCACACACACACACACACACACACACACACACACACAGAGTTCCTGGGGATGCAGTGCTTTCTTCTGGCCTCCATGGGCCCCTGTACACGCATGGAGCAATAAGTGCACTCAGGCACACACACATACACATATGTTTCTTTAAAATCACTGTACATAGATGGAGGAAACAGGGAAGAGCAAGTCCGCAAGGGCAGCTGGGCTTCAGCCAGCTGTGTGGCCAGGATAGAATGGCCCAAAGGAGACGGGCAGGGCCTTCAAGCCTGCTTCAGTCGAAGGGTGTTCAGCAGCTTCACCAGATATGGAGAACATTCATTCCAAGCATGATCAAAACACATAGAAAGACCCAAGGGGGAAAAAACAGGCAAACACAGCCGCCATAGCACAGAACAGATGAGGGGTGATGAGGTCAGGAAGGTGGGTGGGACCAAAGCTTTGCCTTGTGTGCACAGTTGTAAGGCTTAAGACAGGTCCTGGGGGTGGGGACTGGCATAGAATCAGCTTTAGTTGTAGAAAGACTTATCTGGGTGGGATACAGACTGGAAAGCCAGGCTGGAGCCCCAGGAGAGGGTCCAGGACTATAGGGGGTGGAGAGAGGTGGGTGAGGAAGAAGGGGACTTGCAAACGGTAGCCTAGCTGGAGGACAGTGGGAGCAGCGGATGAGAGATGGTGGGAGAGCTGCTGTACTTTGGACAAGGAAGATGTTTAGGAACCCAGAGATTCCCAGGGAGCTGCTGTACTCTGGACAGGGAAGATGCTCAGGAACCCGGAGATTCCCAGGGAACTGCTGTACTCTGGACAGGGAAGATGTTAAGGAACCCAGAGATTCCCAGGAAGCTGCTGTACTCTGGACAGGGAAGATGTTCAGGAACCCAGAGATTCCCAGGGAGCTGCTGTACTCTGGACAGGGAAGATGTTCAGGAACCCAGAGATTCCCAGGAAGCTGCTGTACTCTGGACAGGGAAGATGTTCAGGAACCCAGAGATTCCCAGGAGCTCCCTCCCAGGAAAAGGACACTTGAACTGTATGTGCAGCATTGTGGAGCTGGTCAAGATGAAAGTTCTACAGGAACAGCACAACCCTCACCAAGGCCTGGCGGCAGTAAACGCTCCCCATGTTCCAAGTGACACCGCATTTAGTGCTGTTTAGAGTTTCCAGGTGGGAAGCCACCAGAGAGGGAGTTTCAGAAAAGGTGAAACCATGGCATGCAAGGACTTGAAGGTGTCAGCACCAAGCTGAGAGTGTGGGACCTGGTCCTGGGGCCTGGCAGCTAGGGCTGGTGAGAGAAGAGGCTCAGCCCTCTGCACCCACTGGACCTCCCTTTCTCCTGGGCAGGTACTTCATGAACATCACCTGGGATAACCGAGACTACTCCTTCAATGAAGACGGCTTTCTGGTGAACCCTTCACTGGTGGTCATCTCCCTCACCAGGGACAGGACATGGGAAGTGGTGAGTGGCCCAGACTCCAGGCATCCGTGGGAGGGCACCTGGATCCCTGAATCTGAGGGAGGAGGCTGGGGACTGGACCCCAGATCTGAGGGAGGAGAGAGACAGGTCTAGACTCCGAGGTCCTATCGAAAGTCATAATTGAAGGCCCAGGTTCTGGTCTGAAGGAGGAAGGAGCGAGGAATCTGGGTTCTGGAGGAAGATGGGACCCACAGTCCAGAAAAGCCAGGACACCCTGGAATGCCCCCAGGAAGCATGACTTGTTTCTTTGTTTTTGTTTTTTTTCCCCCAAGGTGGGCAGCTGGGAACAACAGACCCTCCGCCTCAAGTACCCGCTATGGTCCCGCTATGGCCGCTTCCTGCAGCCAGTGGATGACACACAGCACCTCACTGTGGCCACACTGGAGGAGAGACCCTTTGTCATTGTGGAGCCAGCGGACCCCATCAGTGGCACTTGCATTAGAGATTCAGTCCCCTGCCGGACCCAGCTCAACCGTACCCACAGGTGACAGCCCCAGATCCAGCTGGTTCAGCTTCCTCTTCCCCCAGAGGTACAGCTTGTGGTCAGGCCCCAGCTCCTCGGCCCTCCGGCTGGGTGACCTGGAGGATGCTTCAGTCTCCCAAGAAAGCACAAGCCATAGTTTTAGCTGCTGCTTGTCCCTCACCTCATGGGAGCGCCTAACAGTGGTCCCCAACCTCTCCAAGCTTGCTCTCTCCCCGCAGTCCTCCGCCTGACGCTCCCCGCCCGGAGAAGCGGTGCTGCAAGGGCTTCTGCATTGACATTCTGAAGAGGCTGGCGCACACCATTGGCTTCAGCTATGACCTCTACCTGGTCACCAATGGCAAGCATGGCAAGAAGATCGATGGAGTCTGGAACGGCATGATTGGTGAGGTAAGAGGCGGGGCAGAACCTGTGGGTGAGGAATCTGAGGATCCTAGGGAGCGGGGGCGTGGCCAAGGGAGACTGCTGGGCTTGCTAAGGGTGCAGCCTGAGGTGGGCTGAGGGCTGAGGGCATCTTCAGAGGTACAGCCACGAGAATTGCAAGTTCTGAGAGCGTCAGAAGGGAGCTTGGAGAAAGGGCTAGAATTGTGGCGCTCCTGGGAAGTGGGGGTGGGAGGACAGAATTCATGGGAAGGGCCTTTGGAGGGTGGAACTCCAAGAAGGGGGCAGATGGGGAGGCTGGATCCCTAGCCTTAAGCAAGTGAAGTGGATGTGGGTGGGTAGAGGAGCCCTGCTCCTGCTTCTGCTCTCTCTCTCCCTTACTTCCCCTGCCCCTCTGTTCCCCTCCTCACTCATCAGCCAGACCTCCTAGCCTGTCTCCCACACCATCACTGTCTCCCAGGGTCAGGCTTTGCCCAGCGCTGGCCTCTGTCCCCTGAGCTGCTTCCCTTGCCAACTCCTCGATCCACCCCAGGTGTTCTATCAGCGTGCGGACATGGCCATCGGCTCTCTTACCATCAATGAGGAGCGGTCCGAGATCGTGGACTTCTCCGTCCCCTTTGTAGAGACAGGCATCAGCGTCATGGTGGCACGCAGCAATGGCACTGTGTCCCCCTCTGCCTTCCTCGGTGAGCCAGCCAGGACAGGGATTCACACTTAGCCAAAGCCAGGACAACTGCCTCAAAGAGTGTGGGCCCTGGGTCCTGTCCCAGGGTTACCTGCGCTGGTGTCTGACTCCCATGAAGGACCCTCACTTCCAAGCTCCAGGCTCCTGATCCATACACTGGGAGAAATCCTTTCTCTGGCAGGGATTTCAGCGGGAAGCTCAGCCAGCGTGAGCTCAGGAGCCCTCGGTTGCAGTGCCTGCCACAGCTCTGATCCTGGATTTGCACTCAGTAGTTGTTTGACATTTGTTTACTTTGGTTTGGTTTGGGTTTTTTGTTTTGTTTTGTTTTGTTTTTCCAGATAGGGTCTCTCTATCTAGTTCTGGCTTTACAAGAACTCAGAACTCAGAGAGATCCACCTGCCTCTGCTTTCTGAGTACTGGGATTAAAGGTGTGCCCCACCACACCCAACCAGATTTTTAGTTTTGTTTCATTTTACTTCAAGATTTATTTTTGTTTTATGTGCACTGGTGTTTTCCCTGCATGTATGCCTGTGTGAGGGTGTCACACCCCTGGAGCTGGGGTTACAGACAGGTGTGAGCTGCATGTATGGCTGTGTGAGGGTGCCACATCCCCTGGAGCTGGAGTTACAGACAGGTGTGAGCTGCATGTATGCCTGTGTGAGGATGTCACACCCCTGGAGCTGGGGTTACAGACAGGTGTGAGCTGCATGTATGGCTGTGTGAGGGTGCCACATCCCCTGGAGCTGGGGTTACAGACAGGTGTGAGCTGCCATGTGGGTGCTGGGAATTGAACCCGGGTCCTCTGGAAAAACAGCCAGTGCTCTTAACCAATAAGTCATCTCTCCAGCCCAGTAGTAATTTTTTTTCGAGACAAGGTTTCTCTGTGTAGCTCTGACTGTCCTAGAACTTGCTCTGTAGACCATGCTGGCCTCAAACTCACAGATATTTACTCATTTCCACCTCCCAAATGCTGGGATTAAAGGCATGCACAAAACCACCACCAGGGAGATTTTTGTTTCTGTTTTTTGACATATGGACTTACTATGTAGCTTAGGTTGACCTTGAACATGCAAGCACTCTTTTAAATCTCTGTCTCCTGAACTCAAGGATTTCTTTCTTTCTTTCCTTCTTTTTAAAGATGGCCTTCCAAGGCTAGGTATACCCAGGCTCAAAAATGAGGAGGGATTTTGTTTGTTTGTTTGTTTGTTTGTTTAGTGTTTTTCCAGTGCAGGAGATTGAATCTAAGACCTGGAGGACCATGGTGACTAAGACAGACAAATTCTTACCTCCTAGGAGCTGCCTGCCTCCTTAGGGGGTACAGACTAGACCAGTTCCCATGGTAATAGATACCATGAGAAATCAGGCTGATGTGGAGAGAGAGAGAGAGGCACAGGGTAGAGGTTGATGTGGGTAGGAGAGAGAGGCCTTCTTGAAGAAGGAATTTCACCTTTGTAAAGATTTGAAAAAAAAAGACCACTGGAGGCAGGCAGCAACCAGCATGGAGGGTGTGACGACTGCCTGAGACTGTAGCTGGCCTGTGTGGCTGGTGAGGAGCCGGGTGAAAGGGTGGCCAGAAGGCTGAGCGGGGAGGTGTATCTTGCTGGACTGGGACTCTAATACTAAGTCTGGGCCTTATTCTTTCTGGTGGCAAGGGCTTAACTTCAGAAGGTAATGAGGATATGTGCTCACTGTGAGTTGATGATAGCCCTGTGGGAGCAGGAAGCTGGCAGGGGTAGGGGCTACCGCAGTGACCCTGACACAAAGGATGAAAAATGTACAGGAAGCTGGCAGGGGTGGGGGCTGCCGCAGTGACCCCTCGACACTGAGGATGAAGATGTGCAGAAGCATGGCGGCAAGGTCGGATGGATGCAGGTTTGGGGTGGTCAGGAAGCCACATTGTGCTACCTTCTGTAGAAACATCATCTCTGGAAGGTTGGATGGATGCAGGTTTGGGGTGGTCAGAAAGCCACATTGTGGTTCCTTATGTAGAAACACCATCTCTGGAGACAGCAGACATGGGCGAGAGAACAAGGCTAGCAGGTCACTTCCGTTCCCCCTTTGCTCTGGTCATCTAAGCAAGGCTCCTCAGAGAGAGAGAGAGAGAGAGGACAGAAGGAGAAAGATCCTTTCCCTTGGGGACCAGGCTTGTTCCTTGCTGACCATGGGGGTGTGGAGGACAGGCCCAAGGAGCTTGAGGAGAAGGAGCAAGGAGCGGGGGCAAAATTTGTCATCTATGACCAAAAAAGATGGATGGCAAGGAGTGTGGCCTGGGGGTTGTCATGGGTGCCCAGATGCAGAGCCTGGGGTGGCAGAATAGCCCCTAAGGGGAAGCTAAGAGGTGAAGTTTCAGACCCTGGGCTCAGGGAGCATTTAGAAGACTGCTAGACTAGGGGGTGAGAGCCACAGAAATGGTCCCGGTAGCTCTTGGGATGTACTGATAGGCTGTCCGTGGAGTGGGCACCAGAAAAGGGAACAGATGGATGGAGTCAACTGGGCTCCACCTGGTCCCCCAAGCCCCTGCTCGGCTGACACCTCCCGTGTCCCCAGAGCCCTACAGCCCCGCTGTGTGGGTGATGATGTTCGTCATGTGCCTCACCGTGGTTGCCGTCACCGTTTTCATCTTTGAGTACCTCAGTCCTGTGGGCTATAACCGCAGCCTGGCCACGGGCAAACGTAAGTCCCCTTCCTGCCTGACCCTATGCAGAACTGTATTTCCCAGTAGCCCCTGGAGTAGAGCTAAAACCGGCAGTCCTTTCTCCTCTCCTGGGGAGTGGAAGGAATGTGAGGTCCCTTCCTGTCCTGGCCCCCATAGGCCCTGGTGGCTCAACCTTCACCATTGGGAAATCCATCTGGCTGCTGTGGGCCCTGGTGTTCAACAACTCGGTGCCAGTGGAGAATCCGCGGGGCACCACCAGCAAGATCATGGTTCTGGTGTGGGCCTTCTTCGCCGTCATCTTCCTCGCCAGCTACACAGCCAATCTGGCTGCCTTCATGATCCAGGAGGAGTATGTGGACACCGTATCTGGGCTCAGTGACCGAAAGGTGCGTACAGGGGTAGGCCAGCTGGCTGGTCACCTGCCCCAGAACAGAGAGGTTCCAGAGTAGTAGAGATGGGAGGTTTGGAAGAGGATGAATGATTTAAATGGTCCTGGGGAAGAGGGTGTCCCCAGTGTCCCAGGAGCAGCAATGCCTCCTCGCACTGCAATGAAGACGTCATTCGTGCCGCAGCTAATCCACGGGAGACTGTGCTTGAGGAGATACGCCAGCCAGGAGTTACTATAAATGTAATAACACAACATCAGGACGTCCAGGAGTCAATCTCGGGCTAATGATGCAGGCCTGTAATCACTGCCCTCCAGAGGTGGAGGCAGAGGACCATGAGTTCAAGGACAAGCTGGTTACACAGTGAGTCCCTGTCTCAAATAAGAACAGCAGTCAAATCAACTCCAGATTTTTACTAATTAGATTCAACATGCATAAAACCATCCATCAAAGCACTCAGAATGCCCACCCTCTGGGCTTGTGCTCTTGCCGTGTGGCGCCAGCCACAGAACACAGGGATAGCAGCCGTGAGGGACACTGTGAGGTTACAGTGGCTACCCAGCCTCTCAGACTGTTGGCGGGTTGTGGGGCAGATGGGATAGGTTGCATTGAGCATTGTTTTCAGTGGAATAAAGATAGAATAGCAGACTAAACAGAAACCATACATTACATACCATACCTTACATATAGCAAGGGGAGTGTGGTTCTGTCTGCACTCTGAGCCAGCACACCCCTGTGCCTACATTAGTGCTTACTCCAGAGCCAGCAAACTAAGGGCTGGCTCTCCAGAATGGGGCATTGGATTTGGGAGTTTCCTAGAGGCTACCTTACAATTCCCCTTCTGTTCAGTTCCAGAGGCCCCAGGAGCAATACCCACCCCTGAAGTTTGGGACGGTGCCCAACGGGTCCACAGAGAAGAACATCCGCAGCAACTACCCTGACATGCACAGTTACATGGTGCGCTACAACCAGCCGCGAGTGGAGGAGGCTCTCACGCAGCTCAAGGCAGGGTCAGCGCAGACTCGGGCAATGGGGCCTCGAGCGTTTGGGGAGGGGTGGGGCCCGCGTCTGAGGTCAGCCTGGGGCAGTTCACTAAGGGGGCCTGGAAGACTCAGAGCTTCAGTGCTTTGTAACCGTTTCTTGTACGTACAGTCAGGATCATAAAGGCAGCTCCTTGGTAGAAGAACGAAGTTTGGTCAGGAGTGGTGGCATGTGCCTTTAATTCTGCCATTTGGAATTAAAGTGAGGGCAGCACTTGGTGAGTTCCAGCCCAGCCAGGGCTTCATACTGAGACCCTGTCTTTTTTTTAAAAATATTTATTTATTTATTATGTATACAATATTCTGTGTGCATGTCTGCAGGCCAGAAGAGGGCACCAGACCTCTTTACAGATTATGAGCCACCATGTGGTTGTCGGGAATTGAACTCAGGACCTTTGGAAGAGCAGGCAATGCTCTTAACCACTGAGCCATCTCTCCAGGCCCCCCTGAGACCCTGTCTTAAAACGACCAGAACAACATAGTTAATCCCCACCGAACAGTGGCCAGAGCATGGTGGCTCTCTGTAGACAGATTTTTCTTTGAGCTGCCAGCTCACAAAAATGACATGACTTATTATTAGTTATGAAAGCTTGGCCTATAGCTTAGGCTTGTCCCACTAGCTCCTATAACTTAAATTGACCCATTTCTATTCATCTATGTTTTGTCTCATGGGCTTTTTACCTCTCTTCCATCCTGTACCTCCTGCTTCCTCTCCATCCCTTCTGGGTCTTCCTGTACCTAGACTCATCTCCTCTTCTTAGAAGGCCCGCCCATCTCCTCCTGCCTAGCTATTGGCCCTTCAGCTCTTTATCAACCAACTGGAAGGCGCCTTGGCAGAGCCACATCCGCACACACAGATTACTCCACGACGGCTTTGCCATAGTTATTGTGCCATTATCATCAGTTCTGAACTCTGCAGTGAATATCTGGGTTACAGGAAAGGGTCTGTATTTTTTTATGTTAGCTCTGTAAATCATAGGGATACAGTTAAATTTAGTCCCTAGAGTGTAGCACCCGGATATGGCAAACCTAGTTTAGATCCTGGGTTGTGGTTCAGTAGTAGAGGGCTGGCCTGGTGTGCCCCAAACCCAGGGTCTGTTCCCCAGCACTGCCGTTTCCTAGGTTGAGTGCCCCTCCTTTATTTAGTCTTTCAGCATGGTTCTTTTCTTATTGCCTTTTTGTGCTGGACTAATATTAGACAGACATTTTTTGTTCCCAGTTACTGAGGGTCTAGGGTGAAAAATGAGTATCAAACACACAAACTGGCAGGGTCACTGGGCATCAGAGTGGGCCCCTCGGCAGGGTCACTGGGTGTCAGAGTGGGCTCCTCCGCAGGGTCACCGGGCGTCAGAATGGGCTCCTCAGCAGGGTCACCGGCCATCAGAGTGGGTTCCTCAGCAGGGTCACATCACCAGGTGTCAGGTGGCCTTCTAGGAAGAGGGAGTGTGTCCACGCTCTCAGGGTAGACGCAGAGCCTTGCAGGTAGAGGTGTACGGAGTCCCTGAGGTAGGTGTAGAGGGACATCTGAAGAGTAGGTGGCTGAAGGGCAGAGGAGAGTAGGACCGACCAGTGGTGACCCCTGAGGACATCAGAGTTGGCTCTTGTGACAAAGTGGTGAGACACCTTTGTAGGAGATTAAGCAAAGAAGCCTCCGTTCTTGTCCCCAAGTGTCCTTCACTGCAGTGGGGAATGGTAGAGGGGCTATAAGGGAGCAGGAACAACGTGGAGGCCATTATGTCATCTAGAAACTTCCTTCCTCAACTCATCTTCCTGCTTGCCCCTCCAGCAGCCGTCCTGGCTGGATCTGTTACCCCTTTGTCTCAGTGGATTGTTGAGCGCGTCTGTGGTAGGCACAGTATAGGGTCAGCCTGGGCCCGCAGCTGAAGTCTTCATGAACACATTCCAGAGCAGTTCTTGGGGAGGTTTGTACTTGGAAACCATGGCCGGCAGCAAGCAGATTCCTGGGTTGGTAGGATTTTAAAGCCAGTTTTAAGACACTGGTTTCTGTGTCTCCTGGGATGGCAAATCCAGGGAGCCAATCATGGTGGTTCATGACTGCCGGAACTCTATTGAGAGATTCAGGGCATTCTGAGCTACATAGCGAAGCCCTGTCTCCAAAAAAAAAAAAAAAAAAAAAAAAATTGCTAGGCTAGCAGGACAATTTAAAGATTTAAACTCTCTACACATTTCTGCTCTGTCAAACTTGCGGTTTTGATCTTCGTGCTCATTTGGTTGCCTCGTGATCACAGGAAGGCTGTTGCTGTTCTGCGCAGCACACCCTAGTTCCAAACATGGAGGGTGTTCACCTGGAAACCCTGTCTCAGGGACTTGTGTGTTTCTAATATCCTATCAAGCAGCCATACGCAGTTGTCAGGGACACCGGAAAGATGGACGTGTAAGCTGAGGATGAGGCTGTGACCTGTGGTGCGCGCTTGCCATCCGCCGAGTCCCGCCTCATGCTTTAGCCCAGCAAAGTTCTTTAGTAGCTCTCCGTCTCTGCCTCTCTATCCTCTTTCTGTGGTCACACAGACTCTGTACCTAAACTTTCTATGAGCCAGTGAGCCTCCCCTTGGGCCGGGCTTCAGCACTCCCTATCAGGCAACTCCGTTTTGCCTCCTGCAGTGCATGTTCTGGCCGTCAACCCTTGGTGGGTGCCTCCTTCTCCACCCTCCTCCTGCACCCACTATTCATATGGCCATCAACCTTTGGTGGGTACCTCCTTCTCCACCCTCTCCCTGCACCCACTATTCATATGGCAGGTGTTGCTGAGAATCCAGGCAAGCACCCTGAAAACTTCCCAGGACTCTATGCTATGGAAAACTTTGTACGGTGAGCTAGGGAACCAGCATGGTAGCCTTCCTGCCTTGACAGATAACTCTGAACAACCCAAAAGGAATGTGACTGATGGCTCCTTCCATTCCCGGGGTTACAAGGATTGACTGGCCTGCCTTTCCCTAAAGCTGAATTCTTGCCTTTCCTTTCTTCAAGGGTGCCCACCATCGCTGGCGCACACCCCCAATTGCTCAGACCTCTCCCTTGTTGAGGAGGGTTAGAATGGGTGTGGAGGTTTTTCAAAGTACCAGGTTCCCAGAGCAAAACCTAAAAGAACTATTCCAGTAGGTATGACCCTCAGCCTCAGGGACTCCATGCTCTGTGGGGGACACAGAAAAAGAGCCTGCTCCCCAAGGATCGGACACAGCATGTGCTCATCAGTTCCTTGTTTGCCTTGGGTCTTTTTGTTTTGTTTTAATTTAGTTTTTGAGACTGGTCTCATTAGGTAGCTCTGGCTGATCTGGAACTCACAGAGATCCGCCCGCCTCAGCCTCTGGAGTGCTGAGTCAGAATTGGACTCCTGGCCCACTCATCAGCTTTTTTGGCAAATGTTCCCTAAGTACCTCTAATGCTTTAGTAGTTCCTCGGCCTGATGCCCAAGTCCCCATCCACTTGTAATTTCCATTGGAGACGGTGAGACAGTGGGGTGGGCAAGGCTACAGAGCCACTTGCTGTACAAGCCTGAGGGCTTGGGTTCAAATCCTCAGGACTCAAATAAAAGCTAGGAGTGGCTGCATGTGCCTGTAACCCCAGCACTGCCAGGGTGAAGACAGGTGCTCACCAGCCACACTCTCTGATGGAAGAGCTCCAGGCTCAGGGAGGAGCCATGATTGGAGAGATCGCTTACAGGCACTAAACAAATGTTAAGGAGCTTCCATCGCCAGCATCTGCACAGAAAGCTTGGTGCGCCGGTGTGATCACCTGTAACCCAGCACTGTGTGGGACACAGGGACAAAACGGCTGGGCTTGCTAGCTGCTCGCCTAGTTCCAGGATTTGTAAGAGACCCTGTCTCATGGGAATGAGGTGGAATGTGCCAGAGCAGATGACACTCTGTCTGCCTCTGGGCTCCGTGCACTTCACAGGCACACAAACGCTATCCACACTAACACACACACACATTGAAGATGGACAGTAATTGAAGACATCCAATAATGACCTCTGGTTTCTACACACATGTGCACACACATCCATATACACATGTACATAACACGCACGCGCACACGAGAGAGAGAGAGGTGGGAGGGCATCTGAAGTCATCTCAGCTCCTGGCATCTGGACAGAAGCACCTGGTCTTTTAGCTGCCGTTTGCCTCTGTGCTGAGGCCCTGTGGTTCTCATCCCCAGGGCCTGGCATTCCGTTAGTTTTTGGGAACAGCAACAGCAGCACCACCAAGACTCTGGTGACCTGGGTCTGAAGGAGCTGTGAACCTGATGCACCCGTTAGCCAGTGCGCTTCTGCCTTCACCTCCCTCCTGGGGCGGCAGCTCTGGCTCAGGCCTCTTGTGCTGCTGCCTCCGTTCCTTTCCACCCTGAAGCTGGGAGGCCTTCATGGCCTCCTTCCCTCTGTCATGAAATGGTGTGTTTGCTTAGCACATCATAGTTCAGGCTGACATACAGGCCTCATCCCTCCTTAAGTCAGTGTTGTTCCATTCCCTTCATCCTTCCTTCTGGAACAGGGCTGTGAGCTAAGTGTAAGTCAGGAAAAGACGGATGTGAGGTTAATCTCATGCCTGTCACTCAGAATGTTATCTCTCTGACACGCACTTAGTTAATCTAAGCCCTGACTAAACACCTGACCTTTGGAGGGTCCCAGGCGTAATTTATGCTCCCATTGCACTTTGATTTGGACTTGCGAAATCTCCTTTTTCTTTTCTTCCTTTCTTTTTATTATTACTACAACTTTTGGACACAGGGTCTCACCATGTAGCCCTGGCTGGTCTGGAACTCGCGGAGATCCTGTTGTCTCTACCTCGCAAGTGCACTACCACTTGGTTCTGAACTTGTCAGTGTTTTGAAAATATTTATTATATCTACAGTGTTTTGTCTGCATGTATTTCTGCAGGCCAGAAGAGAGCACCAGATCTCATTACAGATGGTTGTGAGCCACCATGTGGTTGCTGGGAATTGAACTCAGGACC